ATGTCGTCGCCTAAAACGCTCTCGCAAGGTGTTGCACTACAGCCTAAAACCCCTGACAACTATAAGGGCGGTGCCATGTCACAACCTGGTGTTCGTCGGAAGCTTCCTTACGTATTGGATTATTGAAGCTCGTAGAATCCAAAACTTGAAGGTGGAAGGCGGCTCGTTTGCAAAACCGCTCTGTCGCCTGGCACCCGGTCAGCACTCTCGGTGTTCGGCACGTTTGGAGGCTTGGCAATGGGCACCAAGACCAACACTTCAGGGGGCCTCCTCCGGGGGAAGATGATCCCAGAACGCCATGCGAGCACGCTCACCGAGGCCCTCGGTGGACCCCCCCTGTGTGGCACGAAACGTGTGAGGGGTCTGCCGGAATGGACGCATGGACGTCACGCGAGCACGCCCAGTGGGGCCATGGGTGGAGCTCTTGTGGGGAGCGAGACGTGTGAGGGGTGTGCCGAAGTCCTGGGCGCGCGGACGCCTGAGGCCCTTGCTGGAACTCCCTGTGGGGCACGAAACGTGTGAGAGGCGCGCCGACATGGGAGCAGGAACGCCAGGCGAGCACGCTCTCTGAGGCCCCTGGTGGAGCTCCCTGTGGGGCACGAAACGTGTGAGGCGTGTGCCAAACTGGGCGCGGGGACGCCGTCCGAGTACACCCACTGAGGCCATGGGTGGAGCTTTATGGGGGGAAGGAATCGTGCGAGGGCATTGCCGAAAGAAATACGCCAAAAGCAAGAGGAGCGGCAGCGATGGAAGGAGGGAAGAGGATAGTATGAGGAGGAGGAGGAGGAGGAGGAAGAGGAGAAGGGGGAGGAGGAAGAGGAGGAGGGGAAAGATGAGGAGAAGGAGTGAGACGCGCGGCGCTGCGAATTGCAAACGAGGGCCAAACGCACAAAAGGGTTCGGAACAAAAGACGAATCACAAATCCCACCAGCCTTCTGGGCGTGGGTGTTGTGTCTTCTCTCTGCCAAAGTACCTCCTTCCCCTGCTCCTCGGGGGAGGAGTTTACCCCTCCTCCTACCCCGTTACCTGGGCCCGGGAAAGGAGGGGGGGAGGCGCGCGACCCGTTGGAGCGCACAACATGGCCGAAGATGGCTCCAAGAGGCCTCAAAAGAGCCCAAGATGGCCTCCAAGATGGACTACGATACTTCAAGATGGTTCAAGGCAGCCTTGGACGCACATCCACGAGGCCCAAGGACGGCCCCAAAACGGTTTCGTCGAGTCCTTAACGACCTCTCCAAGAAGCCAAAATGACTGGGGGAAATCCGTGTGTTTTGCGTTCTTCCCTTTTCGTTCCCGATGGGCCTGAAAGGCCGAAAGATGGCCCAAAAACGGCCTTAGAGAGCACCGAGAGGGGCCCACGAGAGCCCCAAGAGGACCCCAAGTAGGCCCAAGAGCGCTCCAAGAGCGGTTCAGGAGGGCCCCAAGACGGCATGTATGACCCTCCGAGTGTGGGGGGGGGGGGGGGGGGGCTAAATGGAAAACCCCTTTTTTTTTGCCACAGGGGCCATGACGACCCCTTGAAGCCTCCAAAAAGGCCTTAAGACTCCCAAAAAAAAGCCCCAAAGGTCCCCAAGCGTGTCCCAACAGGCTCCGCGAAAACCCCAAGAGAGACCCAAGATGGCCCCAAAAGACCTCCGAGCAAGCACTTCCAAGGCGGCTGCTACATGCTTCTACACTTCCCTGATCAAGGCAACTCGCCTGGCGATGTGTTCCTTGATGGGTTGGTGGGATACTTTCTGGTCAGCGGCCTCATGAAGCGGGTCAAAAGGCTTCCAAACTCTAGCCGGGTCACGATTAGGCAGCAGAAAAGCGGAAAGCGGAAAAGCAAGACAGGCGCAGAGAGGGGCCAGCGAAGCGAGCGCGCGGGCAGCCACTCAGAAGTGCACCAAGAGCGGCACTCCCAACCTGGTGGCGTGGAAATCCCGGTGGCGACCATCAAGCAGGCGCAGCCAAAATGGCGCGGCGGCGCGACCGTGAACACGCAGAGGTCGATCACCCGTTGTGACTCGGCAAATGGCCCGACGAAAACGAGCAGGTCCGACAGGCACGTCAGGGCGACATCCGTGCCATAGGTGACACGACAGCATCGTGTCGGCGCCGGAGCGAAGAGGGGACAGCCTCGTCACAGACAGGACTGCAAACGGCAGATCCTCTGGTATGTACACCCGGTGGCACAAGTCGGAAGCGAAGTCCATGTAGAAGAAAACGGCCAACGGGCGCCCAGAGCCACACATGCCGAAATCCTTGCACCGGAGAGGATGGCACCGTAGCAAGTCTCCATGGAACCCAAGCGGACACCTGTGGAGGCTGACACCAAGCAGGAGCAGGCCAGGGGCCACCTGGCCGCCCATCCCCGGTGTGGTCATGCATGGAATTCGAAGCGAGACCTCACGGAACCCTCCCAGTCGCCAGCGGAGGCCGACACCAGACAGGAGCAGGTCAGGGGCTGGCGGGATACGCGAAGCGTCAAGAACTGTTACTAGAGTTCCCTAGATAAGAA